TAATCATTACGTATAAATATATCGCATCATTATCATTATCAATATATTAAGAAAAAAAAACCATAAATTATATTTCATTACAACCGTGCCTAAGAATATCGATATTCTATTAAAGTGGGTTAGTCATGGCAAAAAAATGTCGCGATTACGCAATCAACGATCACTTCCGATTCTTTCTGACTTCTTTGACGTAGCTCGATAGATTATATGTTACACGAAAACTATATTAATATTACAGTAACGGTAATATTACAGTATTAAGATTATCAGGTTACATCGTTTGAGATCACTCCGATTATGTTCGGAAACGATCGTTTATCACGTGATCTCGACATTTTTTTTGCCATGACTAACCTACCTATTCGATTAACCGCAAAATTTTGTGTAACAGTGTTAAACTTTCCGTGAATAATAAACGTTATATTGATCATGCCGACTTATCGAATCGGCTGAATAATCATTCGGTTAATTTTTCATAAGGTGTCCCAGGAATAATGATAACAGCTGTAAAACAAAAAAAAAAATTTTTTCAAATTTGACCCGGCCGGGTTATGAAAACCAATTAATTAATTTTGCATGGCCTTATATGTATCAATTTTTGTGATGGTTTATGTATCAACTAAGTCAACAGTTAGGAATGTAACATAACACTATTATTGTCATACGTAGTAAAAAAAGGCAATAAATGTAATGCATATTTTATCGTTATATTGTAAATCAAAAAAAGAGCAAACTGGAATTGTCTTATTTGCAAACTAATTCATAGCATCGTTAACGCGGCTGCGTGATATCAATCGCAATAAGGTTCGAATTAACTTTTAGATTCGCTTTTAACCCTCAAATCTCTAAACTGAAATGTTTAATAGACCAGAAGTACGGTAATTTATGAAATTTAAAGTTTGGCTTTGAAGGCAACTAAATAAAAGATAGTCATTTCGAAGATCTCATTCTCGAATGTAAGTCTTATAAAACCAACAAACTTGAGATTCTTAACTTTTTTTTGCGCAGCTTAGAATTTTACCTGTTTTGAATTTATTATTAATTACAAAACATTTCTTTAAATTAACTATAACACTACTTGATTGTGTTGTATGAAATCAGATATCAAAGCCTTTACAATAAGGACGAATAATTTACTTGAGTTTTTTTATCGTGTTTGTAGTAATAAAAAAGAGTTATGGATCCAAGTGCTCGCAAAAATGGTGTACCAAAAACGCAGAAAGCTAAAACTCCACCTACACCAAAGCCAAAACCTCCCAAACTTTCCACGGCACCTTCAAATCGAATTGATAGTGAGCCAAATTCATCATCCACTCATAAACAATCGAATCCGAACACAATAGTAGTCCGTGGTCCAAATATTAATAGACTATCAAGCGTTTTTGAAGATCCAAATCTAACAGCAGATCAAACGATTATCAAATCCCGTGTCGCCCCGTCGCTTCCTTTATCACCAAAATTGCCTGTCCCTATGGTCAAGAAAACTTACATAAAAAAATCTGTCTCACGTGATAATTTTGCGAGTGAGAAAAAGGCAAATATTGACGAATCTTCATTAATATTTGACGATATCAAAGCGAAATTTCAACAAGCTGACGAAAGTGATGTTGCAGTGAGTTTACGAGTTTGATATTTTTAATAGATTTGATTTATTCTTATGTGATTATTTCAAACTAATTTCATTTCGGTGACTAAAAGATTCCTATTCAAACAAAAAAATTTGTCAGTAATCGTTCTATTATATCATCAACCAACTTGCACAAACGTACAAGTAATACCAATATTAAGGAATCAGACTCAAGTGAAGATGGTGTCGATCTTGATTGGGTTGATATACCATATATTAATCAAGTACTAGAGATGAATGAGGGAAATAATTTAAATGATTCAGATATTATGTCACAGACATCAAATTCATCAATTAGTAAAAATCCTGGGAGAAACAATTCACATAGTGCCCAGTCTTCAAAAAGAAATTCTATTGTTATACCATCAAATGATTTTGAAGCGAAGAGAGCTAGCATTGCGAATTTACTTTCAGGATCATCTCCGATTTTAGTACGGCCTAAGGATTTACATCTAGAGACTTCAAAAGCTTTACCTCCGATACCAACGCAGTCTCCCTCACAGTCTCCATCTATAAAGGTCATATCTCCTCTTTCAGACAAAAATAGTGGATCTAAAAGCGAAATATCGTTAACAAGTTTTTCAAGCGAAACAACACTTGTCGAAGAGGATGAATATTCAATTGATTTAAAAAGGCGCAAAAAATTGTGGAATGTTATAAAAGAGTTAGTAGAAACTGAAAGGGTTTTCTTTCAAGACATGGTACTTTTAGAAAAGGTAAATTTAATTAAAAAACAAACTTCAAAATTTCATCCAATTTAATATTATTTCTAAATAATCTCCTATAAGGTTTATTATATACAAGCACAAGAAGTTCCTATTTTCAACCAGTATGATTGTAAAACAATATTTAGTAATCTTCCGGATATAATAGACTTTTCGGAGCATTTTTTAAATTTATTGCTTGTAGCTAGTGGAATCGGAGACGCAGGTGATGACCCTGAAAAACATTACGAACTTGAGAATGATACTACAAGCATCGGAGAGGCGTTTGCACAGATGGTAAGAATATTTATCATTCACAACTCTTATTATCAAATTTTGATTTTCATGCTTATTTTAAACAGATGAGAAAGTCTCAGGGTGAGGACTGCAGATTAGAGGCGGTTTATGGAGAATATTGCAAAAGACATGAAGCAGCCGTTCAGAAACTTCAGGAATTCGACAATGATGATGAAGTTCAAGGGTTTTTACAGGTTTTTATATAAATTACATTTTTATCACTGTTTTTGCAGATAACATTTCTGGCCAATTTTTTTAAATTATGCTTTTAAAGAAATGTAAAAGCCAATGCGAAGGTCGAACGAGAAGTTGGGATATTGCCAGTCTTTTAATAAAGCCGGTGCAGCGCGTATTGAAATATCCACTCTTATTGCAAGTAAGGAAAAGTTCAAATGCAATCATGTACATGTAAATATTATGCTTTGCTATGTTAACCTTAACTTTTTATTACATGTTTATAGCAAATTTTATCCCTTACAAAATCTTCACATCCAGATTATGAGCATCTTAAATTTTCTTTTTCAGAAATTACGAAAGTTGCAGAACGTATTAATGAAATAAAGAGACGCAAAGATATAGTTGAAAAAATTGTGGGCAGTAAAAAAAAGTCAGATGCAGATGTGAGTGTTTTTCTGTGCTTTTATTATATTTAATTGAAAGTATAAATACTTAAAATGTCCCTACAATATATAACTAATTGATAAATAGGTTCTGTGAGTATTTCCGAGCATGTAAATTCGATCCTTTTTTCAGGACTAAATTGTAATATTTGTGTTTTTTTAGTCATGGTATTACGAAATCATTTACAAGAAGGGGTCAAATGGTAAGCGGTTGTATCGTTAGTTTGGCATTTTTGATTCGAAAATACTAATGTATGAATAATGAAATAAAAGATAAAGCATGCTACTGGTATTGCAAAACCTACTGAAGATGAACTCTATAAAGCTTATGTGGCCAAATTTAAAACTTTAGAGCAAACAGGGATTCAATTATCTAAAGATGTGAAAAATTGGGTAAAGCATGTTAAAAGTAAGTACTATATGCGACATGCATTTAATTGCATATATTTATATTTATTTTTATGTTCTACAGTGTTTTTTGAAGATCAGCAACGCTTGGCAGCTGCAATCGAGGACTTTTATATATTAGGAGTTGCTGCTAATAAAAATTCGGATGATTGCATAAGAATTGTAGAATATGTAAAAGCCGTCAGAAGTTTTTCAATATCATGTGGGAAAGAAATGGTACATGGTAGCTTTTCCGAATGATATAAATGTTTAATAATTATTAACTAATTTGTGAACAATGATAGGAAGACTCTATAAAGAAAATAATATATCCTCAAATTGAAAAGATTTTGGACCTTTTTAAGGCACCTGCAGCCGTAATGAAGAAAAGAGAACGAAAAATTTTGGATTATGACCGGGCTAATTCAATTAAAGCTAGGGGTGCAATAGTAATTAGCATATATATATATATTTATTTTAACATGTATTGAAAAGACTGCATGTATTGATTTATTATTATTATTTTTTTTAATAACTGGAAATATTTATATTAAGCCCGACAAATCGCTCCAACAATCTGCAGACGCTTATGTGTCGATTTCAGCTCAACTACACGAAGAATTGCCCATGTTTTTTATTTTCATAACTGACTATTTTGACATAATTGTGCAAGAATTAATTAAAATCCAGGCGAAATTTTACAGGCAGATGGATATGGATTTCCGACAATATTTTTATAAATTTGTAGATATAGAGGCTTTAAAGCAAATATCTGATGATAGAGAATTGGTTCTGAGGGATATAGATATAACTACCGAATATACGGATTATTTCCATGGTTCATTAGGAATGGAGGATCGATTAAACGAATTGTTTATTTTGAATAATAAGCCAGGTATGTCATTTATCGGATAATGACATTGTGCAATTATCGCATGGTATACAATATGTAACTTTCACATATAATTTCAGATTTTACTAGCAAACACAGAAATGGTCGAAGATCTAGTTTTTCAGAGTCACTTGGATCTTCAGGTTCATCAAAACAAGCAGAAGATTCGCAAAATCGAACAGGTAAACAAAGAAATACATTACCATGCATTAGGGCGTAATAGTCAGGAAATACAGTACCGGACAGCAAAAAAAAAAAAAATCCAAAACCGCCAAATCTTAATTATAATTGACTAATTTATACATGATCAATACTGGTTAAGAAATATACAAGCAGCTAACCAACAAAATCGCCATCACGTGATTTTAAGCAATATGATTGGTCATTTTGACCTGCGCCAAATTTCTGTTTTATTAGTAAACTTTAAAAAAATTTGTTTAACAGAATTGTAGATTGAATCAAATACTACAATTCTGTAAGAGGGATTTTTTATATAATCAGTTGTTTTTAAGTGTCCGGTACTATAGAACTTTTGATTGATGTTGATAACTTAGATTCATTTAAAAACTTATTATTTTTAGAACGGTCGTCATCATGGTATTCTGATAATTCACTAAATAGCAGAACACAAAACTCCTTTGGATTTGATGATTCAGATTATGAGAACCGATCCAAAAACTTTTTAGACGACGGTTTTAATTTTCAGGAAGTAAAAAATAGATCACAACAACGGTATAGCGCTCATAAAAAGTATGCCACTGATGGTGTTATAAATCATAGTTCATTAGAAGATGATGATGATGTGTTTCATGATTCCTTGACCGGTGAGGAGGGTGACGAAACTTTATTTTTATGCCAAACTATTCATACAAATAAATCCAAAGAAAAAAATGAATTAAACTTTAAACCAGGAATTTTGCTCAAAATTATACATATAGACGAGTGTGGAGAGTGGTGGTTTGCAGTCAATGAGGATACCGGAGAGAGGGGATGGGTGGATCCAGCATTTGTTGAAAGAATTGGCTAATTTTTTATAATCTTTTTTTTATAGTCGATCTACATTTAGAATGTATAAATCGTATCTAGTTTTATATTTTATATCTTTTTTTTAGCTAATAAGTTTATAATAACTTTTATTTATTGTTAATTTTAACTTCATAATTTTTTTCCTTTTGTATTATATTTTATATAGATTTTAATAGTGCTTTTTACCTAATATATTTTATATATGTAAATTATTAATCAGTCTTATAAATTTATAAATAAGTTATATAATGAATTGATTTTTTTTTTATAGAATGAGTTAAGCTTTTTACTTTTATGTTTAGATAATGTATTGAAAGTATTATCACTACACAATCTTTTCTGCATTTAGGTTTGTCTGTATCACTTTTTTAACAATATCACATCCCCACTCAACTGTTTTTTTCTCCTCTTCTTTTAAAATATCTCCCGTTTTAACAAAATGGTGTAAAAAAAACATCATTTCTTGCGCCAATATTGGATTATGGACCGCATTTATAAAAATTTTTGCGAGTAATTTAGGATTACGTCCATTAGCATTTTGAATTAAAATAATGTTCGAAAAAAGGAGTTGGAAAAATAAACGGCTTTGAGACTGCAATTTAGTGAAAGTGACAGTCTGTAAAACAAGTAAAGAATTAGACTACTGATTGATTTTTAAGTTTGCTTGGTTTAGACTTTACCTTTAAAATTATAATAGACAATCCTCCATTCACAATTAACCAAGCAAAAATCTTTGCTAAATTAACAATCCTTCTTAGTGAAATTTTTTCTGATGAATTATTTTCAGGTATGTTGTTCATTGTTTCACCTATCCCACCAACATCACCTTCACCACATTCTCTGAGAAAGTCCCACAGACAGTATTTGAAAGTTACTTTAAAACTGTGGTCGTAATCACAAAGACGTTGCGCAATTAGAGAATAGTATGGATTAGGTGTATTTTCCTGAGAATAAAGACACTTTGTTAATGCTATAATTTTAATAATATTTAGATATACATTTGATAAATACATTGCCGCAGCAGTGAAGTAAAACTCGAGGGATTTCTCGCGCTTGAACTTCCTTTAAACCAAGTTTCAATAGTCTCTCGAATGCATCAATATAGTCCTAAGCATTTAAAATTAACTTCATAATATTAAAGATCGATCGGACGAATCGTGTATTACTTACCTCACTACTTATTAATACTACAAAAATGCTTCTTCGAACATCGGTATTCATTTTTTGTTGTTTAGCCAAGTTTAAAAAAGCCTCAGAAACAGAACTACTTTCCGGATGACGGGTTAGATATGTGATTTGACTATCAGTCACATTAGCAGTGCTCGACGAACCAATAAGCCACCATTTGCCTTTTATAATGACAAGGTTAAATAATGTTTATGCAAGAAGAAGAAAAACGTTAACTTACCTTTAGTGTCAATTGACCTAATATCATCAAGACTAACTCTCAATGCTTCATTCATCTGAACTTTGATCAAAGAGATTAAGATCGGTAATAAAACTAAAGAAATTTCACGAATGATTTATATTTACCATGAATCCTCTTGCCTAAATTTGCAAGGAATTTCTTCATTCTTAATATACATTCCGTATTTACAACTAAAGATTGCTGTTTTAAACGATTATTTTTTAAATTCATGATTGTTTCAATCATGAATTTTGTACGAAAACTGTTTATTAAAGTGGCGTTATTATCAATTTAAAATAAGCGTTGCTAAATATCAATGTCACTTACCCAAAACTCTTCGGATCTTTCTTACTTATTTCAACCTGGACTTGTTGAATGATTTCCTTCAAGGCGGAGGGATCATCTTGTTTAAGTTGATATCCTGAATCTTTCTTATCAGTTAATATAAACGTTGATTTTGCATCCATTGAATGCTTAATGACTACTTACTTTTAACAATTTTTAACAATAATTCTACATTTAGATCAGTCAAATTCATGATAAATATCCGAATTATATCATAAATCAATGTGCATGAAACAACACGAAAGTTATAGAGTTCGGAAATAAGAACAATTAAATTGGTGCATTCTTTGCCACCATTGCCACCAATGTCTTTTGTGTCTATTGACTTATTAAACTGGCCATGAAAAAACTCAAATTCTTCAACAAGGACTTGAATGAAATTTGCACCTTTTATAGAAAGTAAAAACACAATATTATGAATATAATTGTGTAATAATCATACTTTTAAAATACTATTATTAATAGTCGTATATTTAAACCTACAAAAATCTATCCCTATGGTCTTATGCAGTGCGGCAACAAAAGCGGCATACAAGATTACGAACTGATCTAGAAGCACTGCCTTTGATGAGATCATATTCAAAACAAGCTTTGTAAGTGTCGATATCACATCTATAGTTTATTAAAGAAATGTTAAAGCGTTATGATAATTGTTGCATATCGTGAAGATCATTAGTACCCTATCCATGAAGATAAAAATTATTAAAATAAAATTCTACTTAAATAGTCCTGTCAGTGTTCGAAATTGGTATTCTCAGAGGCACACTGGTATGTATTTGTGCACAGTATAAAGTTTTTACTGTCACTATTAAAAGTTTTTTGTGAACAGTATCATAACAGTTTTCTTATCTATAATTTTTTTTTTCTTTTCTTTTGTGAACATAAAAGAAATATTTTGAGAACACCTATGGCTATTGAACTGTCCCCATGAAAACAGTATTTAAGTCTAAGATATCGAACACTGGTCGTGGTTACATTCCGGATATCAATAATCCATATGATTGTTGTCAAAAGACAACCTACAACTCTAAAAATAAATTACTATGATTTTCATAATAATTTATTTTTAGAGTTGTAGGTTTTCTTTTGACAACACTCATATGTGTAATGGTTTTCCAAACTTTGAGCGAAGGTATCTCGACGAATACTTATCTAACAGTAATAATTTAATTATAGTCTTATTAAATCGAAATGATAAAATTTCATCGATTTTATCGAGATATCTTCGCTCAAATTTAAAAAACTTCAATCACTGCTTATGTTTTGATGAATATCTACCGTAAAAGTGCGTATAAAAAATCCCCTCAACTGAAAATCCACACCCAGAGGTAAACAACTTATTAATCAAATGTGTTTTTTTTCAAATAGCTGACCTCTTATTTAAATTTTTTCTTGTTTCGATAAAATCTCTCAGCTGTGTGCTATACCCAGGATCTAATTAGATGTTTTAAAATTGGTGAAATATATTATACCCGGGTCTTATATGTTACTTTTACAGTAAGTTTTTTAAAAACTTTGAACGAAAACTTCTCTACAGCCACCTATTTAAAATTTATGAAGACTTTTTATTTTAATTATAAATTATAGAATGGAAATAAAAATTTCATGTTTTCATCCCTTTTAGATGGTGGTTGCCAAGATATCTTTGGTCAAAGTTTAAAAAAGTTTTGCCGCTGTCCGTTTTGTTAGTTTTTCAAACTTTAGGCAAAGTATCGAAGACCACCTATCCAAAACTGATGAAATTTTGTTATTTAAATAAACAGTTATATAAAATCGAAATAACAAAAAAATTATCAATTTTAGACAGGTGGTCATCGAGATATTCTTTGCTCAAAGTCTAAAAACTTCGTCGCAACTTTTGTTTTAATAGTTATCATCACGAAATTTGTCTAAGTATTTGCTAAATATTTATAAATATTTGTTTAATATTTAATAAATACTTATTTATGTAGAAAGTGCAATTCCAAATATTTATTTAAAATACTTATAAATATTTAAAAAATTAAATATTTAATAAATACAAAATTTAATATTAATTAAATATTTAAAATTTTAAATAAGTTTAATTTCATGATGATCTATGTTTTTCTTTTTCTAAATATTAAGTGATGTCTTGACAACTACTTTAATTTTGTAGTCATATAGAATCAAAATATAAAAGAACTTTCAATTTTATATAGGTGTCAAGACATATTCGTTTCATGGTTTGAAAAAAGCTTTATTTTGATGATTTTCTAAGTTTTGTGCGAAGATTTCTCAATAACCTATCGCTATATAAAATTACTGATTTTTTTTCATTTGATCAACCATATAAAATTGAAACAAAAAAAAAAATCCCATCGATTTAGATAGGTGGTTATCGAGATGTATTCGCTCAAAGTCCGAAAAAAATTATATTTTGATTATTGATTTCATCCAGTCAGAATGTAACTGTTCAAGTAGAATCTCGAATCATGGTAAAAATAAAAGCCCTATTGCTAATTTGGAAGATCACTCTTATCCTGACAAATAGGAAAACTATTTTCACCATGATTGATTTTCATTATGATTAGGGTTCTGCGAGTTCCGGGCACGGTGCCGTTAAAACAGTGCCCGGCAGCCTAGGCACTATGTTTTAACGGTACCATGTCCGGCACTTGAAGAACCCTAATTATTATCTCTCATAATAATTACTTTGATATAATACCATGCCGTATGTTCTTATTATACAACTCTGTTATGCTCATAATTATATTTTCGATATTAGATTCACTTAATCTTGATTCCAAAATTTATAATTAGTTATACAGACCTAAAATGTTTTAAAAATCAAAATATAACATACTTGTTCAGTAATCCTTGCAGTTGGCGTTGTAATCGTATTTGTTGTTCTGATTTAACTTTATCATGTTCTGAAGCACACAAGGTTGCAGTTTTCTCACGAATATATGGCGGAAGATACTTGTCTAAAAAAGAAATCAGAATACAGTGAGTTACTTTCCTTTGACAGATCCAGGATGCGAGTTTTCCTGGGACACACAAAATTCTTTTAAGTTTCGTTTATATTAAGGTTAATGTTCTGATTAGTGTTTAAGGTTAGCAAGTATATAGCAAGTTCAGGAAAAATTTTGATAGATCAATGATCATCCAATTTGTGTAACATAATTTAAACAATTTTTTTAAATTTTAAGCGAAACTTTCTCAACAACAACCTAACTAATCTCAATAAAACATTTTATATTTGAATTCTACAGAGCTATAGAATTCAAATAAAAAAAATTTAATGAAATTAGACCTTAATTATTATAGATCGTTACGTGTCCAAAAAAATGTAGCATCCTGATGCGTTTACTCTTAATTATTGTCGCGGATCATAATGAAATCGGATTAAATTGAAATTAGGGGTTTCTATTTGTCCCCTAAAACCCTCAATACTTGTTTATTATAAAACCTACCCTAAACTCTAATCCTAACCCTAAAAAAATGCTAAAAAAGCGCACCCCAAAAATTTGTATTTTTCGGTGACTTGTCTATTTTACATTCTCCCATTTCATTTTAATCTGATTTCATTTTAATCCGTCACAATTATTGTAATTACTATTTTGTACCTGAGTTAACTTTTGTGACGTGCTCAACTTCCATAAATTTATCAGCAGCATTGTTAGACTCTTTGACTTCAATGGCCACAGCGGCTTCGCGAATGTTGTCTTCATCACCTTTATTTGATTCCTCTATTGCACTGCAATCTTCAAAATCTAATTCTTCCGTTTCAACATTATTTTCATAATTATACTGAAAAAATAATGGAATGAACTTGTGAAATTTTGCGTAAGCTTCAAAATAAGATTTCAAAAATTACCTTAGTTGGCTCAGAACTCAAATCATTCGAAAATTCCGACGATCTCATTCTTTTAGAGCCGACCTTAAGTCCTTCTAATAAATCTAATATAATATAACAATGTATACTTCAACAATTGAAGTTCGCACTCTCATGGTTGTCACCGTCAAAAAAGATATATTTGATCTAAAAATGCACACCATCTAGTCCATCTTCAGCAAAAGCTTTTGTTAATTTGCCAACAGATTTAATCCCTAATTTTTTTTCTAAACGTCTAATTTCACGTTCTTCTGCATCCGGCGATTTAGCAAGTTTTGATGAAATAGTATCGCTAGAAGTCACTCCTTCATTTGTACTGGCAGTTATGGGCCCTTTGTCTGTTTTTTTGAGCTTTACTGGTTGTGACGGTAGAGTTGTTCGACGAGACCTTTTCCGCATGATGAAATTTAAAAACTGATGAAAAAGTCGAAATCCCAAATTCTTTTGTGAAAGGCGAAACCTAAAACAAAATGAAAGATTTGAAAAAAAAAAATCATATCGATATCAATCAGCGGGCTTTCGTTGTGATTGGTTATTTTTTGCAGATTATTTTGTAACTTGATGTGCAATTTTTGTCCAATCAGAGCTGCCCTTTCGATGATTGGACAAAAATCTTGAGCCATTTACGGATATGTAAAAATTACATACACCAAAAGCCATATATTTTTTATAGTAAAATTTTTAAATTGATATAACTTCTTAAAAAATAAACCAATGCAAAAAATTTTTTATACAATTAATAGATTTTTGGTTAAACTATAAATTTTATAAAAAAGTTTTTATTTTTTATTTAGTTTTGAAG